AGATTGGATGTGACTACTCCGCCCTTTATTGGTGCTTCTGGAGGTGATAGACGCGAAAAATCGAGAAGCCGATCAGCATCACCCCAGAACGCTCCGGCAGCTTCATCAAGTGACCGTAAAAAACGTAAGAAGAAGGACAGGTTCAAGAATGATCCAAATTACCGTTCTCGTAAAGCAGAAAAGGAGCCGAAAGCGAGAAGGTTCCAAGAAAGTGAAGACGTAGCGAGAGAAATCGCCGATGAGGAGGCTATAGACGGCACTCTTCGAGAAGTAGCGGAGGTAATCCCTTTTCATTTTTACATCGAAACGGTCAGGGTGTTGAAGAAGGTGTTTGACTTGTTTCTTCGATGCCCATATCTATTTCAGTTTGTACGAGTAGAAGCCAACTGTGATGACGACGGAATTGAATTTGACATTGATGATACGGATGTCGTAAGAGATGTTATGACCGAGGCTGAAGATGAGAAGAGCGTCACAGATACAGAAGTCCCGCCGGAAGAAGCGGTTGATGTAAGCCATTATCTTCACTCAGAAAAAGTTTTCTCTCTGATAATTTAGAGATACGTTTCCGCGATTACCTGTTACGTGAATTGACAGCAGTCGCTCTTATAGAAAGTGAACCACTTTCGTCCTTCAAAGGTGGAAATAAGGGGCATTAAAAGAACAAAAACGAGTATTCGTTTATTGCCAATTTTTTGCTTCGAGTGACGAGCGAGCCTCTGACATACAAGTCGAGACTCTAACCTGTTAATATAGGCGCTTCCAAAAAAGCGGGCGGGTCTTCTACGAGATGGGCGGAGCTCCTCATTGTGGACGGGATATCCTGCAACAGTTCAAAAATGTGAAAGTTCTGAAGAAATATCAAAATTTTGCTAAAGCATGCAGTGAGCTTAATAAAGAGACGAAGCCATATTTTGCTGAAATACACGTCTAGGAGTGCCTTTGTTGTATGAAGATGGATTTAAATTAACGAAGTTGAGAAAAAGTATGAAAACTCGAAACTGCAACAATTTTTTCAAAAATTGGGCGGAATTGCCCAAGCGTTGACGAACAGCCTTCCTCAGTGTGTGTGTGTGCGGAATGACAAAAAAAAGTGCAAAAGAATCTCTGAAGGAGAAGTTGCTGAAATTTCAAAAACCATGACCACGCTGAAATGTGGACGTGGCCTGCAGTAGTGCCTAGTGTGGCACGTTTAACTGAGTCTGGGATTTGGTTTGAATGGTCTCGAATTTGGTTTGAAAGGTCGTGAATTCAGATTGAATATGGTATATATACGATCTAGCTACTAGGAGAATGTGAGAATTGGCGATTGGGTATTGTGAAAGTATGCTCGATCAGATTCGACATTTTGAGAGACACTTATTTTCCAAAACGTCCTGCTTGTTCCACTGTCTCGTCGCAAAGTATGAACGCAGCTCAAGTGCTGCACAAGGACGACTTGTATGGTTAATTAGACCGCATACGGTTTCAGCGACGCTAGTGTTTCACTTTCAGGTTTGAGAGTCGCGCGACTGCTATCGATAGCTTCCATCGCTGTTCTTAAGTCTGCTGCAACTGATAGCTCATGGTCAGTTACATCCGGAACAGAATTCCTCTGAGCGTCGCAGCGATCCAACAAGCGGCAGAGGGCGACCAGTCGCAGTCACTGAATCCACTGAGGCGTGAGGTGGCGCCCTCACTGCGCTTTCATTGCCCATAGCGTTGCCCATAGCTCGCAATCTTATGGACCATATAGGCGTGATAGTAGGTGTTCTTTACGGGTATCGCTAGCTTATCGGCTTTTGCAGCGCTGTTGGATAGTGCAAAGGAGCTATAGTTAGGAGTGCCTAGATGTAGGTATTAATTTGTTGGCACGAAATCAGGAAAACCTGGGAACTCGTACAGTGATACCTTGATAGGGAGCTTCATTGAGAGCGTTACCATTTTTCTTCTTGCTTTTTATTTATTGGGAAGTCACCTAACAGTTTCAAGATTCTAACTAAATATTTCCACTTACAATATGCAATCGTGCTACGTGACTCAAATAAATGGCACTGTACTCCTCTGTTGCAGACCGCTGTGGAAGCAGTGAGTGAAGCAGATAATGAAGAACCCGTGGAACGTCGATCTGAGTCCGATGCTACTCATTCTACTCTAGTAACTAAGGAAGATACCACGGATAAGGAGAAGGATACTGTAGCTGAAGACCACACAGTAGATGATGAAGATCGAGGAAGTTCAAAGAAAAGGGAGAAAAAGCACAAGAAGCATAAAAAGCACAGGAAGCACAAGTTAGTATTGAATATTGCCGAAAAAAAAGTTTGTCATCATTTTAGCAAATGTTTTTTCTTGGAAAATTATACTGCAGGGATGGCGAGGACGATGGAGAAGGAGAGTCAAAGCATAAGCATAAGCGGAAAAAGGAGAAGAAAGAGAAAAAGGAGAAACGAAAGAAGGAGAAGAAGCATCGACATAGTAAAGATAAGGACGAAGACACCAGTGACAGTCGTGCGAAAGAGGTAAGCTCTTCTGACTAGTGCACTTGTAATATTACCTTGTTATCTGGGGTATAAGTCACCAGTCGCCTCGCCGGCTTTGCCGCGCGTACTTTCTTTCACATATTTCTAGACTCAACTGATATCCGCCTTTTGTTCTGTACTCCACTTTTTTTCCGGTGTCTGAAGTACTCTTGAGCTATTTTACAGATTCTTCGTCTGACTCCGCCCCACCTCAGAGCAGGCCCCGCCCCCAATTTTCGTGCCCAACAATCCTCACCGGCGACCCTCTGCTGACCTTAATCCACGTTTTTTTCCGGTCTTTGAAGTGCTCTGGGACAGTTTTAGAGAATTTTCGTCTGGCTCCGCCCACCTCGGGCTGGCCCCGCCCACAATATGTATACCCCACATTTCTCAATCGGCGACCCCTCTGCTGACTTCATCACTTTTTTCCGATGTCTGCGAGTGTCTGAAAACTGTTTACAAATTTTCGTCTCTCTGACTCCGCCCAGACGGGAGGCAGGCCCGCCCAAACAGGTTTCACAGTCCTCACCGGCGACCTTTGCCGACCTTGATGCACGTTTTTCCGGTCTTTGCAATGCTCTGGAACCGAGCTACAAACTTTAAAAATGAGTATCCTGCGATTTAGGGCAAGCTCCGCCCACTGTGGGCGGGTCTCAACACACTTTGAGCGTGCCCTGTATTCGCCGGATATTTACATTCTACACTGAGTTTTTTGCGACTTCCAAACACTCGCGAACCGGGTGTACTAATTTTGCGCAGATAGCACGCCCACACTTGAGTACGCCCCGCCCATTTAGGGTGTACCTGCCACAGTTAGTCTGGCGAGTCCCCTTAACTAATCCTTACAAGGGAAGGATACCAACTCGTCCTGGCCATTCAGAATGAGATGTATACTCCTAGAAGCGTCTTCGGACGCTGATATCAAATCTGGCTTCCAAATCTGCTAAACGATTCTGGGTGTGGGATTACGGACCTTTTTTGCTACTGTGCTTAACGCATCGTGCGGTGCAGCCCCCCTTGGCTTATGCTTCGCGCTTCGTAAGACCGCTTCGTGAGCCCAACCGCTCATCGTTCGTGCTCAAATTGGCCGCCAGGTAGGTAACGTGATGGACTCCATGTCGAGCGCATGGGCGTTCGTCATCCTTGATGCGTTTCGTAGTTTTGCTTTTCTTGAAACGTGCGCTCAACACTTGGGAAGTAGTTTTGCATACCTGTCCGACCACCAAGACAACTCCCTGCTCTTTATTGAGCCCCGCGAACGATTTTCGTGAAAAATTACACTTCTACCTAACTCGTTCATGCAAGGGACCAAATACACATGCATATCTGCCTGAAGTACGTGATCTGCGAAATTTCACCATCCTATAAAATGACGTGTGTGAGCAACGAAAGTTTCAACATGTTCGGTAGCTCTAATCACCCACGCACACAATATCAGCCAATACCTCTGCGACCGACCGTGCCTACCAGTAACTAGTAGTAATATTAGCACTGGTTGAACCACTCTATCCCAGAAAGCTCAAAAATTCATCCTGAAACGTGTCTCAGATGCAGTTCTATGCTGATCACGGTTTTAACCCTCGTTTCGAGCGCTGGCGTCATTTGGCGCCATTATGCACCAATTTGGCGCCCACCACTTTTTTCTTCCAAAGTTGATGAAAACTTGCATATGGGGTTAATGTTGAGCGTTTCCGATTAAGAATGTCCACAGGTTCCACGGTTGGCGCGATTTGAGCGCGCATGATTGCGCCATATGCCGCCAAACCTGGCAGCATAATGGCACCAAGTCGACACCAGGCGCTAGCGCGAATGCTGGGTTCCGTAATCCGAGACCAAGTAACCCATCATGCAAGTTTTCATGACTTTGGTTGAAAAAAAATGGATTTGGGCGCCAGTGATCTCCAGCGCTCAAACGAAGGTGATCGATGATCTGGGCACTCGATATTACATATAGCAGACGTATTCGCTAAAAAGTTTTTATTAGTTTCTGGGTACGAATGGCGAGTCTCAATGTTCATTTACCAAGTTGTCGACACACTGTACTACAACCTGTAATTGACTGCGGGGAAGATAGCTCGTAGAGGACGACA